ATTTAAACTTCTGGGCTTCATCGTCTGTAGAGACGTCCAGGTCCACGATGGGAACGTGGTACTCTGAGGAACCTTTGAAGAACCACAGGTAGATGTAGTCTCCTCCTGCTCCAGCATTGAGGTCTTTGGGGATCTTGTGGTACCCTGCCCTGGTCAGGCCCTGACTCATGTCATCGGTGAAGGAAAACTGGATCCTGGTGATGGCTCCACAGCTGCCTTTCTTGTACCAGAGGTAGATGTAATTTCCTCTGGCGCCTTTGTTCAGATCTACATCCATCTTGAGGAAGCCCTGTGCACGGAGCTGACTCTCATCGGTCTCATTCAGAGACACTTCCAGGTCGGTGATGTACTGGGACATTTTGGCTTCCTGCAGCAAATAAAGTGAAAACAGTGATGTCACATGTTGTTACTGACATTTCATCCAGAACAAGTGGCAGTTCACTGGGGTTAGGCTGACTAACGGTTGAGTCTGTTACCATACGGCATGACCAGCTGGTTCAGACATCTGTTAAAGACAACAGGGAGGGTCATGGGTAGTCCAGCACCTCTAACCCCCCAAGACCTGCTGGAACACATGACCGTCAGACAGGCAGACAATGCTTGATCAGATACCTCTCACACACCCTGAATACACTCGACTTAACTCAGGAAGAAGGTCAGGGTTCCACTCTGTCAACACAACAGGTACAGACACTCATTAAAGCTCATTAACGAGCAGGAAGCCAGTCAGGTCATCCAGATAGCCAGGTGGGCAGCAGTGGAACGCCTCTGTCTGGATTTAGTTTCTACCATTGCTCTGTTTTTTTAAGCGATGTGATCGTGCGCTGCACTTTTATTTCACTGATCGATTAATGACTATTATTATTGTGATTATTTGACTCTGGATGCTTGTGTTGTTGTTGTATGAGTGGTATGTGTTGTCTGTGCAGCAGAGCCCTCGGTCTAAAACAGATTTCTCCCAACGGACACCAATAAAGACGCCTGAACCTTCACCACAGAGGAGGGTCCAGATTGATCACTTTAATGGACTTTTTCCATCATTTCTGAGCCTCAGAACTTCATCAGTACAGCAGATAGACACATGACANCTTCACTGAAAGCAGGATTAGGAAGTTTCCCAGTTCCTGACGCCCCATGGAAGGAGATAGTGATTGATTTTACTGACATGGGTGCAGATCACAGAGTAGAGGGTAAAAGATACCTTTTGGTTTGTGTAGAACCATTTTCAAGGTGGGCTGAAGCCACACCTACCAAAACTGAAAAAGGGAAAGAAGTTATCAAATGGTTAATCAGGGAAATCATTCCCAGATTCGGTGTACCAGAAGTGATAAGATCTGACAATGGCACTCATTTCTCTAATGAAGAGCTGAGAGAGGTGGAAGAAATGTTTGGGATCAAACATAAATTTGGTGCAGTTTATCACCCAGCCTCTCAAGGACTCGTTGAAAGGGCTAATCGTACTATTAAAGAAGGATTGGCAAAAGTCTGCGCAGACACAAAACTAAGCTGGATGGAAGCCCTCCCTATAGTGCTATTTAATTTGAGATCCACTCCAAATTCAACACTGAATGTCAGCCCACATGAGATTCTGACAGGAAGAAAAATGCCCTGTCCTTTGACCACTGCACCCACCGACACACCACCTGTTTTATTACAGTATGAAGATCTGAGTGAATATGTTCGGCAGTTGAACAACACTGTGATGAGTGTTTCTCAACAGGTCACGGAAATACTCACCAGAGAGCAGAACCACGAAACATCTCCTGTCGAAGTGGGAAGCTGGGTTCTAAGAAGGATCAATAAGCTCAATTGGTCCTACCCCAGGTGGAAGGGACCGTACAAAGTAGCAGAGACTACATCACATTGTGTGAAGGTATGGTTGAGTGATGACAGACTGAGCAACTGGATTCATAAAACACACTGTGCACTGACTCAAGACCCTACAGAGAGAACACTGGCTGAGGTTCGGACTGACTTAAGAACCTCAAGGACTGACAATGACCACAATACTGGAGATGACACCTTACCACAGACTGAACAGACCCCAGCTAACGACACCTCCCAAGAAAACTCCACTATGGAGATTAGGTTGTAGAACCCGAGTAGCTGTTCCCACGCTAGCTATACTAACTCTGATCATCGTAATACCAATTTTGTGGTGAGAGAGCCAACCATCAAAAGCACAATCAGTCCAAAGTAATGTCACAGCCTCAGTACCAGTTCCATCTCCCACTACTGCTCACCAGCCGGTTAAACGATCCTTGAGCTCCGACAACAAAATATATACGTTACAATTTAACGAGACTCAGGATGGTGTGGTACAATTCCATATTTGCGATCTAATGAATTGTAAATCACGTAGCCATAATGGGGAAAAATATATCTGTATAACCAGGACCAATGGACATGGAGGAAAGTGGTGTCCTAGCTGGAATTTCGTGATAGCTAATACCGGCACAGATTGGGGATATCAATCCCGAAGCCCATTAAAGTCCCGTCTAACCCTTGTTTGTACCCAAGGAAATTGTGCTACCTTGGCACTTATCCTGAAGGCACCCCAACAATCAGATTCGGGGGTATATGTCCTTGGATCCCGCGAAGGTGGGACTGATCCCCTGGTCCAATTCTACTACTACGACTACCAATTCCACTACGGCTTCTAAATCTGCACGAAATGTGATGGTGGCTTCAAGCGCAGCTGATCTCACTGTTACGGATGTGTTAGAAATTGAGACAGGATTTTCACAGAAAAATTACTGGTTAGAGTGGGTACAAAGTGCCGCAAGAAGTGCTACAAAAGAAAGCTGTGTTGTGTGCTCCTCTCCCCGACCAACCCTGCTCACAGTACCATCACCCTTTTCATATAATGACACTTATTGCATGATGCAACTGCACATGACAGAAAACCCAGATGATATCTGTAAACACTTAGAAGTACCTTATCCACTGGCCCCACCAAAGGCGACCCCGCCAATTTTTACCCCTGTCAAAAACAACCACACCTGTCTAATGAGAACTGATGCTGCTGGCACAAATGTTGGTAAAATTCCTGATGATTGGTGTGTTACTACTATAGATGCCACCGATTGGACTAACGTTACATTACTGTGGCAACAACTTATTGAGAAATACACTCCCTCCAAATTGGTCAGGTAAATGTACTATCCTGTCACTAATAGCTTCAGTAAGGATAATTAAAGCCTCAGCATCAGACGTAAACTCATGGACATCCACCTATCATGACTCCATCCAGACAGAAACGTAGCTCATTTAACTTATATCAGAATTCCCCGACTTACATAGAAGCAATTGGAGTCCCCAGAGGTGTGCCTGATGAATATAAATTGGTTAATCAAGTGGCTGCAGGGTTTGAGACATCCCAGTTATGGTGGGTAACCATAAACAAAAATGTGGACAGAATTAATTACATTCACTTTAATGTTCAGAGGCTTAATAACATGATTAGAGATGCAGTTGCTGGAATGCATGAACAATTGGCTGCTACTTCCCTGATGACTTATCAAAACAGAATGTCCTTGATTTCCTACTAGCTAACAGAGGAGGTGTGTGTGCTATGTTTTCCCAAGATTGCTGTGTGTTCATCCCAAACAACACGGCCCAGAGCGGCTCCGTAACTCGAGCTCTTTCGGGTCTTAAAACCATGTCTGAAGAGTTAGCAGAACATTCAGGGATTGATAATGCCCTCTCCGATTGGCT